CTGTGTCGGGGTGGCCAGCGAACTCCCACAGGACAGGAAACTCGCGGAAACCGGGGTAGGACGTGAAATATTTCAATGAGAAACTTTGTTCCATATTTTTTGTTGGTTTTCCAAACGCGTCACGATAAACCGAACTTTTTCCGCCGGCAACATTGAATTATAGCTTTCCGATTTTTTAATCGAAACTTGCGGCGGTAAAAACTTCTCTCCCCGGGCTCGCGCCGGTTCATTTCAATATTCAATACCGAACTTGTCGAACTTTCATAGAACATCCGAACTGGTTATTCTAATTATTCTTCCTTAAATCTTTTCTCGCCGCGCAGTTGACCCCCTCGTTATCGCGGAATTTCTTTAACAAACTGAAACCACCCCTTGCCTTTTTTTTTAAAGAGAATCTAGATTTTCTTTACGCACGTGAAATCGTTCGAACAAGGGGATAGAGAAATATATTTGTTCATTACACGAGCATTCTGCTCTGAATACAAAATAATTGTACGACGTCTGGAAATGAAATCAGTGCCGTTTCCATTGATCAGTTACAAATCAACTTTAAATTTCAATATTTCCTTTCTACTTCATTCTGCGACCTTCCACCTTTGTCCCGATGACGTTCGCTGGAACTGACAAACATTCTAATTTTCATAAATTAGAGAACGTAAGATTGCTTTCCGAATAGAATTAAATCTCCTTCAGAGTAGATTAAAATTAATTTCTACACTCTGTGTAAATTGACAACAGAAAAGGAAGAGTAAAAGGACAAAGATAAACATAGTACAGACAAATCAAATTAATATCAACAATTCGATTACGATTACAAATCAATTCGATCTTCAGCCACCCCGACGTCTCTCTTCCTTTCTCTTTCGTTCTGTTTCTGTCTCTCTGTCCCTTTCTCTGGTGTGAGTCGTTGATCTGACTGTTCGCAATCATCCACGTAACCCACGCGAAAGCGATCTCCGGACCCGTCCCGCCTTCGCCGAGTCCCGGGGACGCCAAAAACCGTCGGAAGACCCGGCGAAAAGCGGGTCGCCTCCGTTCGAGACTTTCCAGCGTGCGTGCGTGTGTGTGTGCAGCCTAACGATGATCGTAGATAGTCACGTAGCACTTAACTACAGTTACATTGTATTCTTTTCTTGTCTTCCTTTATTTTTCATTTTTTTATCTCTTGATTCTCTTGGATTACCACGTTACTTGACTTAACTCGAACCGCCGACCGATGTTGTGGTTCTTCGTGGCCGTCGATGAGGAACCCCGAGACGACGATACGCCGATTGCGAGCGATCGGTCGGTCGCTCCGCACAATCGGCTCTACGTAGAGATCTCTGTTTCTTACTTGGCACGACATAGAACGCTGGAGAGGCGCGGGATCGACGATCGATCGGCGGCGAGCCGTTCTTTGCTCCACCGATCGGTCCGCCGGTTCCCGATCCTGCTTTTATTGGGCAACTAAGTGAGATACGCGCGCGTGCACGTCCTGTTGGCCCGGCCTCTGGTCGAAGTAACGCGTTGTCCTCCTGTTATCAGCGGTACAACGAAAACTCTGGAAATCAGGCGAGTTAAAGACTCTTCTCGACGCGAGTGAACCGGGAATCCCCTATTCTCGGCGAGACTAACGCCTCATCATCGACTTCTCGACTCGGTGATCCCCTTTTCGAGGATACTCTCAATCTTCCGGCTGTCCTCTCGACAGCTTTCCATTCGCTTGTCTCCCTCTTTTCGTTGGATAATCGGGCATGAAAACGTTCGCAGTTTAATTGAGTTTGAGATGGTGTGCTTTAACGACTCGAACGACGGTTCTGTTGCACCCATTTCCTTTTAACCGATCAATCACAAGCTTCAGCTTCTAGTTATACTGTTATATTTTCGATCAGTAATCGGAATTTGTAATTTGGGTGCATCGGAAACCTGTCGATGATCAGATAGAATATTTGGAACACGGACAGAGGAATGTAAGAAACCTATCGAAGATCACTTCAATATTACCAAAAGTGCCATTTCCTTATGCACTTCTCAAGCGCAACATTATCTTCGAAGGAACGAAACATCTAAGTGAAAAGAGTAAGAAATTGAGGAATCGAGCTTGCAATCCGAAAGAAAGTCGAGGAACGAAGTGTCGGAGACAAAACTGGGACGTTTGCTTCGACCAGCGGCGCAGAGGGCCGCGATATCTCTTCCACGCTGCGTACTCTGCTAGTTGATTAGCTAGTGAAACGTTTAGCTGTGTAAATTCTGCTTACGATCCCGCCGCTAGCTCTCGCGACCGTTCGAGAGCTCGCGACGGGATCGCTCACGCGGCCTGCCGACACCAGAGTAGATCAGACGAGCATAGTAGGTACGTACACGAAAATCAAAGAGAGAGACACAGTAAATATATATATAAATATGTGTATATATATATATATATATATATTTATATTTATATATCTACATAATACGTCCTGATCTATACCTGGCTCCCGAGATTCCTTGGATCCTCGCCTAGCTCCCTCCCCTACCACACACACGTTCGACACGTATCAATGTATCTCTCGTATACACGCAGGAAACACTTGTTTGTAATTTTGTAATCGTTGGTCTCGATATCGCTGCATGCTCAGTATACGAGTCCCGGCCGAGTACGACGACGAACCTCGATCGACCCCGAAGAGAAGTTTCGTTGAGAAATGAACGACGATCCATCCGGCGCCAAATGTTTAAGAACTCATGGAATCCCGAACTGTTAATCGGAAGAATAAGTGATACGAAAGATGCAGATGAAATACGATGAGAATTTAACACGTTAAGCGCCATGTCATTGGTGACTGACACTTCTGAATGACTAGAAAACAATCGTAATACAAGATAACTGATGTGAAACGAAAATGTTTACTAACGTAATTACGCTGGTAATAGCGTTATGCAAACATTGTAACGTCAAATAATTAATTGTTCCTTTTCTTTGCAAAAGAAAAACTACGGGAGAACGCTTGAGATTTCCGTGGCGCTTAACTTGTTAAGGACTGGGAACTGAATCTTATTCGAACTCTTCGATGATGTCGCTGAACAGGGGAATTCTTCGGTTAAATGAATATTCACGTATCATCCGTGTAATTCGTGAACCACTTCGAAACGTTATTCTTCAAGGACCTCAGCGGCGATTATTCCAAGAGTTCATTTCTAAATCGCGATCTCGAAACGCGAGAGGAAATCGGACGAGAGATCATTGAGATACAATGGAAATGAATTAGCATTCTTGAAGAACCGAGTGGAGCGCCGGAGGAATGACCCAGTTAACGTGTCACGACATGGAGGCGCCGGATGCGATCGGACCGGAAGCCGTCCGACGCAGGACGATGGAAGCTCGAGGAAAGTTTTACGAGTGAACTGGACCGGTGCAGAAATTTCGCGAGGCGATTAGCAAGTCGAGCATATAGTCGGCGGCACGGAACGAAAATGGCCGACCAGTTTCACGGGCGATCGCGTCCGGCCGCGAGGAATCGAAGGGGGTGGCATGGCCGTCGTCGTGCTCGGCCGAGGACGGAGGGACGACAGGCGTACGCCGCCTTCGTCGCTCGTTGTTCTCGTCGTCGTCGAGGTTATCCGTGCTCGCGGACTGATCCTCTCCTGGACGACGAATCTTTTCGCAGCTGGACGAGCTACGGACGGAAGTGCAGCGCAGGGATCAGGAGCTGCTCGGGATGTCCGCTAAGATGAAGACCCTCGAGGAGCAGCACCAGGACTACCAGCGGCACATCACCGTGCTCAAGGAGTCGCTCTGCGCCAAGGAAGAACACTACAACATGCTGCAGGCCGACGTGAGTCCTACCTCGTTCTCCTTGAAACTAGTTTATTCTACATTTTATTCTATTGCTCTTAGAAAACTACGCGTCCTGTCTATATAAATCGAGAAAATTGTAGCTTCGAAGCTATAGCATTGCATATTCGCGTAACTGCACGAATCAAAATCAACTCAAGTTGTTACTAAATAATGTTTAAACAGTTCAATATCCGTGAAATTGGGTTCCGTAAATCTAGTGTTGAAACTTGGTCGCTGAACGTTTCGTTTTTCTAGCAGCAAATTCGTAGCATGAATTTCTTTTCTGTAGAGTAATTCTGAGTGAGGTGACTCTCGTTTGTAGTAGTTTCTATTAACCCTCTGTGGGACTATGTAATTTTAAAGCCACATATCAGTATATTGGCATCTTGTTGGTTTATTTCATTCTGCACTCGAAGTGGCGAATAAAATTAACCCTCTATGGGCCGAATTTTTGGTCATTATAACAAAATCTATGCAGTAGAAAATTAATAGATATCCACATATGAACACAAATTAACCATGTATTTAATAGTTTCAATAATCACTTGCGATTTTTCTTTGAGTTCATTTCGAAATATATCGTCTGTGTCTAGTTAGAAAATAATAAATATTTCTGACGAAATATTTCCTAGTGCAAAGGAAAGTATTTGGATATGTATTTGCTTCGCGAAAATACTTCTTTTTGTTTATTATCAGTGATACTTATGATTCTTTTAAAAAAATGGGTCATCTCTTTGTAAGTTACCCTGCAATATAACGAAGTCATTGCATAGTGATTTGAAACTAACCGTTTATCTTACGATTGATTTCAATAGTAACTTCATTGTTATATATTTGATAAAGAAAGGAACTATGTTCTTATTCGAATGCTACGTTCGTTCCTAGGATATCACGAAACAAAGTGTAAACGACGGTTGCATCGTACAGCTAGAATTCACTAGAATCGACGACAGTCCAAGCGAAATTGCTTCGATCCTTTTCAATTTCCAAAGTAGTATCCTCGAGCCCTCTTCCTATTACGATTTACAATTCATAGGAGCAATTCAAAGGGAACGGGGATGGAGCATGGGGCCGTAAGCTCGTTCGTTGCCGGAGGAATCGAGTCCGGCGGCGTTCCCGATCGTATCGTGTCTAAAGCCAGAGAATCGGACTCATGGGTAGGTAACAAGGGTGACTCAGGGGCCGGGCAGTAGGAAACTGGGTCGTTCGAAGCTTCCTCCGTTCTCTCGCTCGCGTTTCCTCGCTCCTCCGTCCTGCTCTCGCTTGGACTGTCCGTGGTCGCGTGCATGCGTGGCATCGCGCGCGATGCGGGGACGTCAAAGTCACTTGGCGCATAATGTTCACGTGTGTATGTGTGTGTGTGTGTCCCAGGTGGAGGAAATGCGACAGAGGCTCGAGGAGAAGAACCGGATGATCGAGAAGAAGACGCAGGCGGCGATGCAGGCGCAACAGGAACGGAACCGCATCAACACGGAGCTGACCGAGCTCAAGGATCACATGGACATCAAGGACAGGAAGATCAGCGTGCTTCAGCGTAAGGTGAGTGCTCTTTGAATTTTTCAATCGTTCCAGTAGCCGGTCTTCAATGGCCGATCCTCAGACAACGCGGACACCGTCAGAATTCAGAGAAACGTGAACCTCGCGAGGCGCTTCCTGTAATTGACGTCTATCATTTGAACGGCAATTTAGATGAATCGGATAGCTGTCGATAACAGAAGGCAATTCTTCCGGTTAACAATTACATTCGAGTCATTACAGTCACGTGCAGTCGGATTACGTTTCGTCTAATTCTGGCTCTCCGCGCTGGATTTATTTAGGGGTCGCTATCTCAACTTGTCACCCGTTCATCCCCCTTTTTCCTTTGTATCGATTGGTCCGTGCCGAGCGGGGATAACTTTGCAGCGAGTTATTGTGCCAAGAAAATGAATGGCTGAACCGTGCGCCGGTGTAATGGACACCGGTGTAAATGAAACTTTCATCAATCACGAACACTCGCCCCAATTACGGGTTAAACATGCGTCAACGAGCGTTTATATCTACCGGGGGTATTCTTCGCGGCGTCGATCATCGAACTTCGCAGTTATCCCCGGTTCTCACGGACCTTGACGATTGTTCGCGCCGGACGAGGGACTCACCCTTCGTTCGGTCCCTCGCGCGAGGGGAACGCGGATCGTGAGTTGAAAAATACATTTCTAATTTTCTACGCAATCGGGACGTCAAAGAGAAATGCGCATCTGCTTCTGGGAAGGAGATGATTTTGTCAAGCCTTGTAATGGCAATTGGAATATTTTATCTTTTTGTTTAATGTCTGAAGTATTTCATTTTTCTATTAAAGGATAGTTGAAATATTTCATGTTCTATTAAACGAAACTTGAAATATTTTATTTTTCTATTAAAGGATTTGAAATATTTCATTTTTCTGTTAAACGACTTGAAATATTTCATTTTTTGATTAAACGACTTGAAATATTTCATTTTTCTATTAAACGACGTGAAATATTTCATTTTTTGATTAAACGACTTGAAATATTTCATGTTCTATTAAACGAAACTTGAAATATTTTATTTTTCTATTAAAGGATTTGAAATATTTCATTTTTCTATTAAACGACACTTGAAATATTTTATTTTCCTATTCAATACTATCTGAATGGTTCAATTTTGTAATACTTTCATTTCCACGAGCTACCAAATTCATCTATGTCTAAAGTAACGTTTCAATTCCTTCCAAATTTCAAACCGATCTATTTCTAAACAAGAGAAACCTACAACTTACGATTCTTCCCTTTCCATCCACAAGTATTCCCCTCGAATCGCCAAATTCGAGTAAATATCCCGTAAGTAGCCACCCCTAGAAGCGATTAAGCGTCGGTCGATTAATTCCGTGTGACAATTACCGGCGCCTCGAGTCCCTTAATTGGCAAAGGAGGCGCCGCGACCGAAGAAAGGAGAAATGGAAAGGTATATAGAGTAAAGTTCGACCGGGCTGGCTAAAACCGAATTTAATCGAGCCGCGTCATCAGCACGCGCCGCGAAAGAAGCGTAATCGTCACCGGTCTCTCTGATCCCCCGTTCATTAATTCAGCTTAGTCGAAAGTGGTTTTCGCCCGACGATTAATTAGCCAGCCAGCCCCGGGGTCGAAGCACTTTAGCGAGCGCTCGCACGATGCGGTCGACTGGTATGAGTGAGACGGAATTTTTGTTCTAATTATGTTTCGTTCGCGCGCACTTTTCGTAGTCGATGTAATCGCTGATGTACAAACCCCGCACACGTCATCCTTTAAGTTCGCTCACCTTTAGTTGGCCAGTTCTTTTCCCCCCCTATGTATTCATGTTTTATTCAATAAAGCCGTTCACAACCTTAATTTGCGTGATTTTTCATTGATTTTCGTTACTCTGCCTTTATTTTCGTACCAATGCACACGCAATTCACGTTCGTTCGTCTTTCCAGCGATGATCGATGATGGACCCAGACCGTTCCTTTACTCAGATCCTTTTCGAACCTTCATCGATCGTCGGTGCGCCGAACCGAACGAACCACCGCTTCGTGATTATTTTCTTTTCCTTCCGACGCTGCATCGGGGAACGTTTCTTTCACGTTTTTGTTCTTTCCTGCAGTGACCGTTGATTATTAGTTGCTGTTACCGTGAGAATAGTTGTGTAAATGTTGCGAATGATGTCTGGGAAGATTAATGACGAGCTGGCAGGTAAGTGAGAATTCACGTAATAAACGCAGATTCCAATCCTGATGGAAGTGTCATTAACCTACTATTGTCATCAAGAATTTCCAATCCTCCATGCAGCTTTTCGACGCTTTTTATCCTTTTTGTGAAACTTTCATTCTTCATCGATTCGACGTCCCTGTAATAATCGATGAAAATGCAAGTTGGAAACTTTAAAGATACTTTATTAACAATCCTGTTACATTACTAACAATTAACATTACTAATCGATATTATCCAAATATAATAAACATTAACTAAATCATTGAAAAACTGCCTCAAACCACTAACCACTTAGCTTGGAATGACTCTCGTGACTGGCTAAAATTCAGAAAAATCATTTCAACGTATTTTACATTTTCCTTGTATAATCACGACGAAACTAGAATACATTTATTATTTCATCGAGGACACTGTGTCCTCAACATTGCAAAGTTAACCAGTTAACTGTGTCTGACGAGTATACACGTCGTCTTGAAGCTTGAAACGATACTAACTCTTTCAACGATGAATTCTTTATTTCTTCAGATAAACATGTAATTCTTTGTTCTGCTTTGGTCGTTCATTAAAATATACTCTAAGCGCATTTGTCCTGCGTTCGACGAGTACACGCTCCATTTTTCATTTTATTGCACATAGAACGAGAGGTTTTTGAAAGTAAATTCCACAGTTAACAGGTTAATTTATACATATTTTCTCATTAGTCAGTTTCAAAGAACGTCGACCATCTGGTGAAAAACTTTCAGTACATGAAATATTCCACTAAAACAACTTTGTCTCTTAATTTATATATACTTTCTCATTAGTCAGTTTCTGAAAACTAAATTCCACAGCTAACAAGTTAAATTCGCGTAGATTAACCCCTTAACGCACAGTTTTTTTGAAAAAAACCGGCCGAAAAGAATCAATTTTGATATACTGCGCTTTTGTTCCATAGAAATGGCTATATTTTATTCTTGAATAAATAAGTGTTATAGCTTGCAATCCCATGTGAATGATAAATATCAATAAAACGATTTTTTTTTCTTTACTTTCACATTATTTTCACAGTTTGGCCTGTTTAGCGTACAAGTTAAGGGGTTAAATTCCAAGCCAAGCGGTTAACGCTTATCGTTCCCAAAAAGTGTTCGCTACCCGACAGTTCCCATTCTGATCGTCTTAACCGTAAGCGATCGAGGACGAGCGCTCACGGCGAAGTGGTTGTAACTTGACAGATCGAGAACCTGGAGGATCTGCTGAAGGAGAAGGACAACCAGGTCGACATGGCCAGGGCACGGCTGACTGCGATGCAGGCGCACAACTGCAGCAGCGAAGGTGCGCTCAGTAGCCTCGAGGAGGCGATAGGAGATAAGGAGAAGCAAATGGCGCAATTACGCGAACAGAGGGACCGGGCGGAGCAGGAGAAGCAGGAGGAGAGGGAGTTACACGAGAGGGAGATCGCCGAGTACAAAATGAAAATTCACGCTCTCGAGTCTGAGGTGAGCTTCCCTCATCCCCTGCCAATCATTCGAGAGTATTTTCGTATAACTTGCCCGGGAACACGGTTTACTTTGATATTAACCCCCTTAGACATGGTGCACGGTGCACCAGACGTTTGCTACCTCGATGGAATTCTGTCGTTTAAAGTTCTTCGACTAACTTGAACTCGGAATAGGAAATTAGAAAATATTGATTACCCGAGGACTACAAATTTGCACGATTTATGTAAGATTAACACTGGAACTACCGAGCATTTAATACGATTGATATGTATGTATTCTTTGGATGTTCATCATAGTACTCAAGTGAAACTATTTATTTCTAAAATCATTTCGAATATTCAATGCTTCGAAGATAATAACTGCGAAACAAACAAATCGAAACCAGTCATTTTGACTGCTACGTAGTTCTAGTGTTAGAAAACATTCGGAGAACATAGCATAGTTAGGGATTGAAATAGTGAAATATTTAGAATCAAATTTCCTTTAACACTAGAACTGCCGAGCATTTAATACGATTGATATGTAATCTATAAAAATTGTAACAATGGATTATTTTCAGTTTCTTTAGATATTCGTTATAGTACTCTAGTGAAACTATTTTCAAAATCATTTCGAATATTCAATGCTTCGAAGATATCAATAATTGCTGAAGAAAAAAATCGAAACCAGTCATTTTGACTGGTACGGTAGTTCTAGTGTTAATTCGCTGACGAGGACTTCTAACGTTTTATTAGAGATTAATCTTCTAGTACTAGAGATTCTACGATGGATCTCTTACCATTGTAGACCTTCTGATAAATGAATCTTTTAGCATTAGAAATCCTACAACAGATTAACCTTCTAGTACTAGAGATTCTACGATGGACCTCCTACCATTGTACATCTTCCGATAAATGAATCTCTTAGCATCAAAAATCCTCCTACACATTAATCTTCCAGCATCAGTGACTCCACCTTGTTTACACCAGTACGATTCAAAGAGATTCATCAAAACCCTTCGATCCTATCCATAAAAAATCGCGAAACTTCACGAAGGCGAGGGAACTCTCGCAAGTCGTTCTACTTAGAGTCCACGGTCTATCGATCAGGAATTCCTTATACGTAGAAGCAAATTGCTGGAAATGCTGGTCACCTAGGCCAAAACTGAGACGTGGCTGGACACTGTCCACAGGTCGAGAAACTGGGTGCCCGACTGGAGAGGGCGCAGGCAGAAAAGGACAGGCTCGAGGCGAAGCTGGAGAGCTCGCAGTCGGAGCTGGGCAAGAGCAAGGCCGAGCTTGACAAAGCTGCGTCCGAGGTCGGTCGCAGCGGCGCCGACTGGGAGGTCGCCAAGCAGAGGATAACCAGGCTGGAGCTGGAGAACGAGAGACTCAGGCACGACATCGAGAGGTCGCAGTCCGCCTACGGCAGGAACACTTTGAACTCCAGTCAGGAGATGGACAGGATCCACGAGCTGAGAAGGGCACAGGCTGAACTCAGGGTGACGCAGGCTGACAACGAGAGAATCAAGGCTGAGGCTGCTGCTCTTCAGGAAAAGGTAGCTATCGTTCTCGGTTCATTCCACGGGGCGCTCTTCGAGGGCTCTCGGACGTTTTTAGGGACTGACAGTGAACTTTCCGTTCAAGGCGTCAGTCCCTGGGACTGACAGTAGACTTTTCGTTTGGGCGGCGTGGATTCTAGGGACTGACAGCGAACTTCTCGTTTGGTCGACATCGGTGCACGAGACCAGCATTTTAAAGGGTTAAATTATTAATGACAAAAAATTTATGTTAAAATTTAGCGTACTCCCCCGTGGCTTTTTCAGACTGATCGTTAGGGAATGAAATAGTGAAATATTTAGTCACTCAGTCATCACTTGGTTCGATACAGCAAAACTATAAAATTGAATACTTAGTATTTTAAATGAAACTTTGTATCGCTATAGGAAATATTTAAATGAAATTACTTTGTCGCTTGATTTATCCGTGAATTGTCGTTAAATTGGTTTCACTTGGTTTGATACAGTAAAATTATAAAGTTCGACGTTTAACACTAAACTTTGCACAACGCGTCGCTATTGTGAAGTATCAAAGTAAAATAGTTTTGTCCTTTAATTCATCGATTAAATTATTTACATTAGTCGCAACAAGCATCGTATATATTTTATTAAAGAGTGTTGGATATTTCTAGTGAAAAACTTCCGAGTGTCTCTATTGCTTAAACATTCGTTTAATGATGCAATTATGTTGCTACTTTCGTACTTAAGACTCTATTCTGCAGACAGTGCCCCAATTGCTTCATCAGCCGAAAGCTTTAACGATAAATACTCTTTTAAACTACTTGAAACGCAAACGTGACTTACGCTGATAGACCACTGTGTAAAGCAAACGCAATGGAAACGCACGATAGACAAAGTTTATTCTAAAAGTTACAGAACGAGACGATTACACTGCAATCTCAGTGAGCAGGGTATAATAAAGTACCTATGTTGGAATTGTTTGAAGAATTCCAGGGTTTTATGATTAGTGAAGAAGTAAGGAAACGGTGAATTAACCCTTTGAACTCGAGAGGTGACTCAGTCACCACGTGACTCGATACAACACTATGAAGTTGAATATTTAATATCTCAAATTAAAATTTGCATCGCTACGTGAAATATTTCAATAAAACACCTCTGTCGCTTAATTTATCTATATATTATACAATAACGTGTGAGACTCGTGGTGAAGGTTTCAAACACAACATAACAGATATAAATATCAGTCAATTATTGTGACAAATATTATCCTTTCATTATCAATTACTATAATTCAAAGCAAATATAAGCATAGAATATACTTAAAATTTGTCTCTCGTTTCAATAAATTATTGGCAAAGTAGTTGTGTCAATCATAGCTGAAAAATAAATAGGGCAAGGGGTTAATGAGGTTAGGAAAATGTTGAATATTTCCATTGAGCTTTCGAGTGCAAAGGGTTAATTATCCTTCGAATTCACTGGCCGACTGGTGAACGAGAAAATCCGCGTGAAATTCGCGCGGAAATACTTCCTCCTTGACAAGCGTCTGAAAGATCCACCGCGGCGCGACCACGCCTGGAACCGTCCCGGACCAGTTCCTCGTGGAACAAATGGGAAGCAGGTCTTACCGCAGCGATTAATCGACCATCGAATCGGCTCGGTAGGTTCGTTCCGCTCCCCGGAGCAGAGGGAACAATCGGCTTTAATCGCGATCGAACCGCCGGATCCATCCCCCGATCCCGCTGCGTTCGCCGCACGCCGATTGGATCTAATTTCCAATCACGCCTACGTTCTTACGGGCTTTGTCGACGGCGCGAAACGGACCGGTAATGAAACTGCCGGCTAAGTGTCCGGAAAATTGCGCGGCCGCGTTCTTACGGCCGACCCATCCCCGTTCCAGGATGCTCCCGGTGTTTCTGTTCGAGCTGATACTCGTATTTATCGACGTTATTTTTATATACGGGCTGGTGAAAAAAAGGGTTCGCCGCCGGGGATCGATAGTACTAGCTGCACGGAGGTAGAAGGTCTTAACACTTAGGCGACCACCTAGAAAGATCTGTAATTACGACCTTCTCCATTATCTTCAATTATACTCGTTCAATTTAGTTGAAAACGTTTCGTAAAAACAAGAACCGTATTTAACACTAGGTTTAAGGGCATTTATTGTACACTTCAATGAAAAGATAAACAGGGTAAAAGGCAATACGTTGCTAAATGAAAAGTGGGATATCTCCCCATTCGGTTGGCTAAGTGTTAACAAATAAGCAATCGATGTATAATTTAGGTTCTGCCAAACGTTTCCTGTTCAAGGGATCTTCGTCCGCAAAGAGTTAAAATGCGTTTCAAGTAAAGTAAATGCGTTTTCAAGTAAAGTAAGTAACGTTAACGAGGGAAAATGCAAAAATTCGGAGTGCAAAGTGTTTACCCTGCAAAGGGTGTTAGCCGGAACGAATGATTTAAGTCATTTTGAAATTATTACCGGATATTCTATGTTTTTATTAGTCTACATGCGTGTCGGGTCGTCGCGAAAATGCGTGGTTGACGAAATTGCGGCCACTGCGAGACAAACGATGCGGTGCTTGCGCTAAGTGGAGGAGAAATGGATTTTAATTAGCGTCACGTGATAAACGGGGAACACATCGACTGCGTATTAATATCGGATCGGAGGTGGCACGCGTGTAGTTACCCTAATGGCGGCGCCATTAAGGCGGCGGGGGTCTCCGAAGATTAATTTTGTAGCGGTATGTTACAAAGTTAAAGGAGATTAGTAAATTCCATCCCGATTCTAGTTTGCTCGCTGGAATTATGAGATCAAAGATCGCGTGCAATGAATAATTGTGATAACACGATTAATATTATTATCGTGAATACATTAGTTAACCCTCTAACAATCATTTGTTACTTTTCTAATAATTGCAAGAAGACATCAGACATGGGTCATTCGACCCCTCTGGTAGTTTTAGTGTTAAAAACAATTGAAAATATATATCTTTGAGTATCTAAATTAGATCAGGCCGTCTAACCCAGAACTACCCTATTCGTTATCAGATGATTCAATCGCGAGTAAGATGGAGAATATCGGGAACGTTATCGTCAACAACGAATTTTTTGTGATTCACAAATAAATTAAGGAACAAAAGAATTTTATTTCAATATTTCACATAGCGATTCATTCTAGAATTATCCGTTTTTAACGTTGCTCCCGTGCTTTCTTCAAGGTGGAAAAGAGTCAAGGCGAGGTATACAGGCTGAAAGCGAGATTGGAGAACGCTCAGGGCGAACAGGAGAGTCTCCGGGACGAGTACGATCGCGCACAGGCGTCCGTAGCCCGATTGCATTCGGAACGAGACAAGGCGATGGCGGACCTCGAGAAGGTGCAAGAGGAACTGGAGCGTACTCAGGCCACCCTCGGCAAGTCGCAGCTTCAGCAGGACAAGCTGCAGAATCTGTTGGACAAGACGCAGAGCGAGATGGACAAGCTTCAGGAGAAACTCGACAAGTCGCAGACGGAGATCCGCAGAGTGAGTAGATCATCGAAGGAACATTGGTTACGACGAAGCATTCTGATTACGGTCGGAGCTGAAACTCGATTTGTCCCGGACAGATGCAAATGGAACGAGAGAAACAGAACTACGATTTCGAGAACCTGCAAAGCCAACTGGACAAGACCCTCGGACAGTCGACTAGGATACAGAAGGAACGAGAAACGATTCAACTGGAAGTGAACCGGCTGCAAGATAAATACGAGAAAGCTCAGGTGAGAACACAACATAATTTCACAGAAAATATAAAAGCTATTTTTTAGATATTTTATTTCCAATTCTACACTGTAGAATTTTCACGAATGAACGAAGATCGGTAGTGTGGTTATTAGATTGCATTATTATTGAATTGCTCATTGTTTTATGAGTTGTTTTATTTCAAGTTGAAAGTCGTTTGTCAAGTTCCTGTGATTTAACGCTTCGAATTGTGAATTTCTGGCAGATCTTAATGCAACGACTGCAGAAGGAGCGAGACGGCTTCCAGGAGGAAATACAGAAGCTACACGAGAGGATAGACATCCAGCAGAATCAGGCGGCGAAGTTGCAACGCGATAAGGAGAATCTGTTGTCGGAGCTCGAGCTGGTCAAAGAGAGATGGGAGAAGGTGCACAACTCTCACCAGAAGGTAACGGTAAGTATCTCGATCCGTTCCGTGGAGTTGGTTTATCGTTCTATCTCGTTGTGTTTCGCTTGTCCGGGCAGCTCGAGCGAGACGACGCCGTGACCGAGATCGAAATAATCAAGGAGAAGCTGGAGAAAGCACAGAACGCGATGAACAAGGCGCACGAGGACCGAGAGAACGCGAACAAGGAATTCGAGAAGATGCGCGAGAAGTATGACAGGTAAACGATCGCGATTCCTCTATGCCCCTTGTTTCGCCTCAATCGGCGATGTTCGAAGTTATCGATCTTACGTATACACACTATCTTTAGACAACGGATGTTTACGCGTTTGAAGCGTTTGCTTGTTCAAAAACCGGAGTGAAGTAAAGATTTTGAATAGGAAACTGTTTGACACTTCAAACTGGAAGATTTTCGACAGAAATATTTAATTTTTTGTGATTCACGAATGAATTAAGGAACAAAGGAATTTTATTTGGATATATCACATAGCGATGCATTCTGGAGTTATTTAACCCCTTGGTCTGTTTCTGTCTGAACTCTGATACGGCTACTTTGTCATTAATAATTTATTGGAAAAAGAGAAAAATTCTAAACATATGTTATGCCTATGTCTCCATTTAAGTATAATAGTTGATTACAGAGGAATTTACTTTGAATTCGAATGAACCAAGTAATATACATATTTGTTGAATCATGTTGAAAATTTTCATCGCGAGTCTCACTCGTTGTAGGACAAGGGGTTAATATTCAATGTTGAAGTTTATAAGATTTCTGTTTCGAATCGAGTGGTGACTAAGAGCCACCTCTTGAGTGCAAAGGATGCACCGTTCTGGATAGTTAAGCGACGAAAAGTATGAATTACCGTAAACATCCGCGCAGTCTAAACCGTAGAGGATCGAACGAATGGTCAATAAGCGAATGACGTCCGTAACAGATCCCAGAGCGAGGTGTACCGGCTACAGAACCGCATCGAGGTGATGGAGGCGGACAAGGACAGGCTCGAGCTGGAGGCGGACAAGCACCAGATGCTGGCCACGAAGAGTCGCGAGGAGGCGCGTAAAGCGCAAGACGAGATCGCGCACGTGCAGGAGCTGTACGACCGGGCGGCCCTGCAGCTGGACCGCACGAAGGAGCTCGAGGAGAAGTCGAAGGAGAACCTGGAGAGGTTGACGGTGGACCTGGAGATGGTGCGGGAGCGTTACGAGAAGTCTCAGATCGAGGTCCGCCGGTTGCAGAACGAGCGGGACAAGCTGGTCGCCGACAACGAGAGGATCAGCTTCGAGCTGGACCGCGCGCACTCTCAGCTGAACAAGGCGCAGGCGGCCACGGAGAAAACGCAGGAGGAGCTGACCCGGATGCAGGTCGAGATCGAGAAAATGTACGAGAAGCACGACCGTCAGCAGGCCGAGGTCAGGAAAGCGCAGGGGGAGACGGAACGGCTGCGCGTCGAGGCGGAGAGCGCGCGCGAGGAGTGCGAGAGGTACGCGGCCAGGTTCGGCAAGTACCAGGAAAGCCAAGAACGGCAGAAGGAGGAGCACGAATACGCGAAGCTGGAGGTGGAGCGGCTCCGCGACCGTCTGGAGAAGGCGCTGGCGGAGCTCGAGCGCGCGAGGAAGGCCGAGCAGGACGCCTCGAGGCTGCGCGCCGATCTGGAACGTGCGGAGGGGGTGCGAGGTAAATACCAGTACGAGCAGGAGAAGTGGCAGAGCGAGGGTAGTAGGCTACAGCAGGAGGTGGATAAGCTGCGGGAGCGTCTCGAGGGACGAGAGTCGGAGCTGAAGAGGACGCAGTCCAGCCACGCGGAGCTCGAGGCGAAGCTGCACGAGACGCAGCTTCAGCTCGAGCGGGCGCGCGACGAAGCGGCCAAGGCGAACGCAGCACAGGAACGGAATCGCGGCGAGATCGAGCGGGCGAAAATTGAGACCGAGAAGATACGCGACCGTCACGACAAGGTGAAGGCGAAAGCGGACGCCCTGGAGGCGGGCAACGAGAAGCTCCGCGTCGAGATTGCCCGCCTGGAGAGGCTGATGCAGACCGACGGTAAGACCAGATCGGAGAGCGCGAGCATCGAGGTAGAACGGCTCAGGGCCAGCCTCGAGAAGGCGATCGACGCGCGCGACAAGGTCGAGCTCGAGGCGGGCAGGCTGGCCAAGGAGCTCGAGAAGACGCACATGCAGACCGCCAAGTACCAGGAGGCGGCTGAGGCGAACAAGAAGGAGATGGAACGCGTGATCGCGGAGATACAGCTGCTCAGGGACGAACGGGAGACCCTCAGGCAGGAGCTGAGGCGCGTCCAACAGCAGCAGCAGCAGCAGCAACAGCAGCACCAGCAGCACCAGCAGATGGTCGGGATGGAGGAGATGGCGCGTCTACAGCACGAGCTCGAGATCGCGAAACGGGAGCGCGACAAGAACGCGGCGATCCTCGAGAACCGGGAGAAACACTGGGACAAGATCGAGAAGGCGAAGGAGAAGCTCGAGGCGGAGGCGAAGCAGCTGCAGGTCGAACGGGATCAGCTGGTGATACAGCTCGAGAAGTCGCAGGAGATGCTGGTCAACTTCCGGCAGGAGTTGAACGCGAACGAGGTCGAGCTCGAGCGTCAGCGGGAGGAGGTTCGTCGGCTTCAGCAGCTCCAGCAGCAGAGGGCCCACGCACAGACGCCGGACAGAGCCGCGAAGGAGGCTCTCGAGGCGCAGGTGCGGGAGGTTCACCGGTTGTCGCAGCAGGTGCAGAATCTTAACCAGGCGCAGGCCAAGGAACGGCAGAGAGCCGAGCAGGCCGAGGCACGGGTGCAGGAGCTGAACAAGCAGCTCGCCTCGAGGGACGCGTCGGTCGGCGGCAGCGAGGCGCAGCTCGAGCAATGGCGGAAGCTCTGCGAGACGGAGAAGCAGCGCGCGGACGCGGCCGAGCGGCAGGCTGCCGAGCTGCAAAAGCGGATCCAGACCACCGAGCGGCAGCTGCACGCCCAGCAGCAGCAGATCCAGCAGATGCAGACCACCATTCAGCAGCTACAGCAGCTACAGCAGCAGCAGCCGCAGCAGAACGGCCAGGAGGCCGCCAAGCTGCGGAAGGAGCTTGAACGAGCGCGAAAGGAGACCGCCGACCAGGCCGTCGAGCGCGAGCGGTTCCAGGCGCAGATCGAAATGCTGTGCCAGGAACTCGAGAAATCCCAGGTTAGCACGCACCCGCGCTCGCTCGCCTGCACTCTCGCGCTCGCACTCTCACCCACGACACTTCTTCTTCTTCTTCGTTCGCCTACACCAACCGCACGAACCGAAACTTCTGCACGAATCACGACTGCATTGTCGTTCGCCGAATCCGTCGTCGTCGCTTCTTTGCCCGTCGGCCGATCCCGTTTCGTCGACCGGCTGGCCGGCGCACACGTCGCGACGCCGCGGAGGCCTCTCAAGTG